ACAAATTTCGCCATGAACATACTCAACAAGCTCGGTCTGGGATCTAGTACCAGTAGACAAACCAACATGGATCCTTCTCCGATCGCGCAGGGTCCCGACGACGACGCTCCGGCGCCGGAAAACCAGTTCGCTCAATTCGGCGCCGGTTGTTTCTGGAGCGTGGAATTAGCGTACCAGAGGGTTCCTGGAGTGACTCAGACCGAAGTCGGTTATTCTCAAGGGATTACAAACAATCCGTCTTACGAGGATGTCTGTTCAGGGACCACGAATCACGCCGAGGTTGTTCGTGTTCAGTATGATCCTAAAGAGTGTAGCTTTGAGTCGCTACTTGATTTATTCTGGTCTAGGCATGATCCCACCACCTTGAATCGCCAGGTACGAAAGTTTGCTCCTTTTGTTTTTGGGTGTGTTTGATTTTTGTTATAAGTTCGGAGATTGACGAAGATTTCTAGGGTTTATATGGTCTGCTACTGTGAAATTGAGATGGGTTTCTGATGTAATTCATGTTCTTGAAAGTTTCTAATTTTCAGGGCTTGTTTGATTTTGTATTACTCAATGATTTTTGTTTATATTACAGAATGATTATTGTTGAATTCATGAGGGGTTAAGTAGGGTAATAATAGATATGGAATTGCTTCGGATTTGATGTTTGAGATATGAACAGAGAAACGCATGTAGAGGATCTTTATCATTCTTCTTGTCTTTGGTCACAGAATCATTGTCATTTGGAAAAACTCATTGGCGATTTCTTAAAGAGCACTTAACCAGCTCTTATATCACTAATTGTGTGGTGAATGCAATGCAAGATCTTAATTCAGTGGGAACATAGGATCTAAACAGTGATATGTACATTTATATATGGCCGTATCTCCGCATAGTTCGTTGGACTGAAGAAGCTATACCTTGTTTTGGATGCGGTTAGTTTGTTGTGGAGATATATCTGAATTGTGGTTAATCTTCTTATGGTCGTTCTTCTTGGAGACGGCTTCTTGAGCATAAGACTTCTTTCTGTGGAGATGATTCTGAAATTCATCGGCACACTATCCATATACTGAACGGATATCATGCT